AAGTGAAATTCTTTGATTTCTGTGTGGTGTGGCAGAAATTTTCAGAGCAATGTACTACAGGAAAGAAGAGCGGGCGGAAAGTGTGTCAAAAAGATAAGAGAGTATACACATAGCGGACCGTCGAGTTTTTGTCGAGCAGAAAAAATTTTATCGAGCAGAAATTTTTTGTTGAGGGAGATATTGAAACAAATTTATTAGATTTAAAAGTGTTCGGGAAATGCCAGAGAAAGAGATGTTGAGATTTAGGTGAAAGCGCTATCTGCTCTGATGACGTACAAATGCGCTGTGGCACATGTGCCATTTGGTGGCGCCAAGGGTGGCGTAAAGATCGATCCAAAAAAGTATACAGAGTACGAAATTGAAAAAATCACTCGTCGCATGACAGTAGAATTTGCGAAGAAGGGCTTTTTGGGTCCTGGACTGGATGTTCCGGCGCCGGATATGGGCACCAGCGAGCGTGAAATGAGTTGGATCGCCGACACTTACGCACAGACTGTGGGCTATACCGATAAGGATGCTCATGCTTGTGTAACCGGAAAACCAATCGTTGCTGAAGGTACCTGTTTTTTGATATGCCTGCAGAGGCGCGCACCAGCGTGGCCAGTTTCTCTGTTTTAGCTGACATATGTTAAATTTTTTTGTGTCTCGCTTTTTTGTATCATTATATCATTTTGCATCATCTCGCTTTTTTTTGTATCTTGCTTTTATAATTTACACATATTATACCAAAAAATTTTCTGCTTAGACTGCTAGGGATCAACTGAACATGATAGCTGCAGTAATAACTCAACTGTGGCGCGTAACGACATCATTGAGACGGTTCTGGCAAAAGTGGCACTTTTGTAACTAATGGTTATGAAGTGCAGCAGTAATTTCATGATATTTCATCAACTGTCTTTTGATACTTTGCTCAGCTGTAGTTCATTGCGTTTTTCAGCTGTGCAGCTGGCAACTTTTCCAGTTGATCTAACCAGTGGTGCCTCAATTGCCTGGTGGTCGGACTGTGGGCAGTCCTGGTGTTTGTCTTCTGAAGGAATTACTAGCTCAACGTTCCTCCCTACAGAAGCACTTTGGCAAGGCTTTAGCCATTCAAGATGTCACTGACGTGTGTTGCGCATCGTGTTGAACGCCGCTTCAACCGTGATAAGACACTACACTGAATGAAAGTTTATCGACTGGTAAATAAGAAACAATGGTCTAGGCAATGTCATTGTCTTTTTTGAA